TATATATATATATAATTATAGAATATTAATATACATATATAATTTATACTTTAAAAATAAAAATTTTTTACAGGTATTTGAAAAACCTCTTATTGAAAGTTTAGTTTTAACAGTGGATGAAGTAGATAAAATATTTGTTAACTGGAGAGATATTATTGCATGCAATGATAATTTTTTGAGGTAATGTTTCGTAAAATATTTTACTCAAAAATATATATATATATAATGTTAAATTATTTATATGATGAATTTTTTCAGAACATTACGAATACGACGAGATAATAGCGAAAGTGGGATTGTAAGAATGATTGGAGATATTTTATGTGAAAATGTAAATTCTTTTTATTTTTATAACCAATTTTATTTTGTAGATCTATATTTATATTTTTGTGTTTCAGATTCCTAGAATGTCAGCATACATAAGATTTTGTAGCTGTCAGATATCTGCTGCTGTATATCTTCAAAGATTGACCGAAACTGTACCGGAATTTGTTAAAGTTGCTCAAGTTTGTCAACAAGATCCACGTACAAAAGGAATGCCTTTGAGTTCTTTCCTCATAAAACCAATGCAAAGAATAACAAAGTATCCTCTTATTATTAGTAAAGTACATATTTGTCATGTTTTTAACTTTATATATATAATAAATAAAAAATAAATATTATATTAATTTATTCTAATCATTTTAGATTTTGCAACATACTCCAATTGATCATCCTGACAGACAATATCTTCAAGAAGCATTAGCCAAAGCAGAAGAATTTTGTACTCAAGTAATATTTTGGAAATATTGATTCTTGAATAATTTAGAAAAAATTAAAAAAAATATATTATTATAATATTATTTTTGTTTATTTTCTGTAGGTAAATGAAGGAGTTAGAGAAAAAGAAAATAGTGATAGATTAGAATGGCTTCAAACACATGTGGTTTGTGATGGTCTTGAAGAACAACTTATTTTTAATTCTTTAACCAATTCTTTAGGTCCACGGAAACTTCTTCATTTTAGTATACTTCATAAGGTATATAAAATCTAGATTATAATCTTAGAAAATCTAAGTAATCTTAAAAAAGATTACATTTTTTTCATATTATATTTTCATATTTTGATTCATATTTTAAGCTTCATATTTTAAGCTTTGTATTATAATTTTCATATTTTTTTTTTTTTTCTTTTTTTAAGGCAAAAAGTGGAAAAGAACTTGTTGGATTTCTTACAAACGACTTTTTATTGTTTGCTCAACCAATATTTACCAAAAAATCTTTATCCAATGGACAACAATTTTCATTTGAGAGAAATGAAAATCAAAAATTTAAAATGTATAGAAAGGTATTCTATAATATAAATAAATTATCATAATAATAGTATAATAATATTAACTGAAATTTTTTTTTTTTACAGCCAATATTCTTAAATGAGTTATTTTTTTTGGGTGATTCAGAAACAAATGGTAATATTAATTTAAGTTTCAGCGAAGGTACAGAAAATTCTAAAATACTCAGATTAAGAGATCACAAAAAACCAATAATATTATTAGCACCTACTCCAAGTGAATGTTCATTATGGGTTAAAAGAATAATAGAAGCAAAAAAAAAATTTATGGAGAATGAAAAATCACGTTTGCAAAAACAAAGATCAAGTAAGTTATATTTATTCTCATTATTTTTAAAAATTATTGAGATATAAAATATTTCGTATTTGTCCTTGTTTTATTATTATTAGTAATAGTGAATGATATAAATATTTTATAATATACATTTACAAAATATTTATTATAAATTTGACATATAGTAATATGTAAATGTGTATGAGTAAATAGAGCAGGCGCAATTTGGAGCGTGTGGCAGAATTCTTGTTACAGTGCTTGAAGGTTTCAATTTAAAGACAATAACTGGTAAGTGAACGCTTATGCTTAAATTATTGTTTTTTTATGCATGTGCTTTTTAATTGCTTATGTGGCTGCTTGGTGCTATTTATTATTAGTGCTATTTATTTTTGATATAAGTATATTATAAAAAGAGAAATAAAATAAAATTATCTACAAAATCATTGAAGATTATTTATATTATAATTACAACTTTTATCTATGCAACATTATTTTAGTAACAAAAATTTGGCATGATTGTAGTTCGCAGGAGACCAATTCAAGGTAAACTTCAATTAGTAGTTATGGAAGCTGAAGATTTAGTTATATTGAAGAAAGGTAAAATATTTTATTTGCATGCAAATTTGCAGATTCGATACATGGATGGACATATATATTTTTTTCTTTTATAATCATATTTTGCATGTAATTTGTTTATAGTTAAATTTAAAAAAAATTATTTCTCTCAATTATAGATGATATTAATATCTAATAATATTAAATTTATAACATTAATAATAACTTAATAACATTAATTGTTACATATTAATTTTAAAAGCCATGCAACTGCAATTTACTTTATGCATATAATTTTTGCTTCATTAATAATATAAATATTATAATTATTCTAATTGGAATTATATTTATTTTTATATACTATAATAATTATAATTCTAACAAAAAAATCTAATTACATAGGAAAGTGTAACACATTTTGTAAAGTTAGTATGGGTTCGCAAGAACAAAGAACAGGCATTGTATCAGGAACTGATTGTCCTTTGTGGGACACATCAATGCAATTCCAAGTTAAGGATTTACACGAAGATACATTGTGTATTACAGTTTTTGATAAAGGCTATTATAGTCCAGATGGTAAAATTAATTTCACCTTAAATTAATTAAGCATAATTTTAATGATTTCTGAATAAAAAAATTATTTAAATATTATTATAGAATTTCTTGGACGAGCAGAAATAAGAGTTGCTGACATAATGCGAGATAGCAGAGATTCTTGTGGACCAATACAAAAACGAATACGATTACATGAAGTCGAAAAAGGCAGCGTTATATTAAAATTGGATTTGCGACTCTTTGGTAATCAATAAATGGATTAAATTGTTTATATTCACAATAATATTCATATTTACATATTAAATTATAATGATGTAAAGTTATAATTATTACTGCCAACAAAATTTTTCATATGATTACTTGTAAAAAAAATTTCTTGTTTAAATGTAATTAAATAATTTTAATAATTATAAATTTAATAATTATAAAAGCATAAAATAATTAATTTTTATATTTCATATTTATTGTATTTTATTGTATTTTCCAAAAGTTTATAATATGTAATACATTGTCTTAATCATTCAAGACTAATAATTTTGGTATTGGTTTATAAGAAAAAATATATATATATCTTTATTTTTATATAAAATTTGTCCAATCACTTTAATTATTAGTCTTCCTTAGAGATTAATTATTTATAATTAAATCTTGTTAAGTTACAATATTATTTTTATTGTTTTATTGTAAAATTAATAATAATAATATAACAAGATAGCATTTGTATTAAATATATTGTACAAAATATGAAGCATTTAAATAGGCATTAATATAAATAAATCAGATATACAATAAATAATTTAAAGAAAATAATTTATTATATTAAATACTCAGCATATGATTTTGATCATAATATATATTGACTTGTATATAAAAATCTATTATAACACATATGATAATATGTGAATTAAATGTACAAAATATAATTTTATAAATAAATTTTATAAAATTATTATATAGGCTATCTATAAAATAGATATATTAAATTAATATAATTATAATAATTTTTTATAATAATAATAATTTAATAATATAATAAATATTTTAGATGATTCTTAATAATCATAATTAAATGGATTATATGCAAAGTAGTGTAAATATATATAATAAAATTTTTAAATATAAGATAATTTCTCACTATTAAAAATAATATGTCATTTAATTTTTAAAAATAATCTAACTTAATTGAATTACTTGCACTTCATTGCATCCCATCCATCATCAAATTTAATGATCCAGAATTATAATTAAAGATCATATTCAGACTTACTTAGTTTATCTTCCTGAAGATAATAATATATCCCATCGATGCACATAATTTTAAGATATTTAAATCTCTTTTTAAAACAATGTTCCACTTAGCATTACTTTAAAATTTCAAATTATTAAAAATTATTGAATTATTAAAAAATTTTCTTTTTTTTTTTTTTTTTGTAAAAAATAATATTGCTAAGAGAAGCATAATAATTTACAAAATACAATAATGTCTTACATCCTCGAACAGATCGGAATTTTATGTTACAAGCTAATTACAAGTTTACAATTTTATTTTATTGCTATTCTCTACTTATTGGTTTTCATGAAAACAAACTTGAAATAAAAAAATACGAATATCATGTTCTTATTTTATTTCTCTATTTTAGAAAAAGAATTTCTAAATTTTTTCTCCCATACAAGTTGATAAAATTCGGTTTTGGTTTGCTCAAAATATCAGGCAATAGTGTATTCGAAATTTATCCTCATTTAATTAGCATATTTTTCTATATGACAAATATATTTTGTCATCAAACTGTTGAATTGACAGATTCGTGGGCATATGTATTTATTTCTGTTTTCAAGTCGTTAGATTCTTTATGTTCTGAATGATTCTCATTTTGCGTTGCGAATTCATAAATTGGTTTGAAGCCACCAAACATTTGTGGTTTAAAATTCTCGGCATCAAATTCCGTTTTTTCTGTCTGTATCTCTTCTAACGTAGCCTCAGAAGAATTATCATCTGATTTTCTATTAATAGTAGATTCCATCGCAACAACGCTCCAACCATTTTTTGAAGGTGTTTCTGCACTGATACTTGCTACAAATGGTGGCATAAAATTTTGTGGAGATGGTGCAGAACTAGAAGAACTAGAAGGTTGCTGAGATGGCAACAGAATAAGTTTTTGATTTTTATCAATTTCAGAATTTTTTTCATCTCGTATATCTACATCTAAACGATGAGAAGATTGCATTGTTGGAGTATAAACATAAGCAATTGGCGTAGAGGAAGGCAAGACTGGCAGACGATGAAGAGTAGCTGAAATTACATCATTTTTCTTCGGTGGAAAAGGCACAAAGTCCTGTAAATATGGAATAATATTCATGCTAGAATCCTTTTCATCTTTTTCTTCGATATTTTCTTGTACAGAATTTTCTTTTTGTCGCTGATCATTGGGTACTAATAATGGCGTTTCTCTCATTCCATTAATAAGAATGGAAGGATCAGGACGTTCTAAAGGATATGGAAAATCTGACATAACTGGACGTCTATTAAATACATTATGAATAGAAAGTTTTATTTCTTGATTCATTTCTTGTTGATTCTCATTGTCCTGAAGCAATGTTTCTGGAGGAAGTGGTCGATGAGGACCTCTCGTTCCAACTACCACACTTTCGTCTTTTTCTCTAGAATCATCAGGATGAATATTTACAGCAGTATTCACAGGATAAACTACATAAACTGGTGACTCAGCCATTGTTTCATGATTTTCAAGTTTTCTTCCATCTGCATTTTGATCAATCATTATTCTATCCGATTCATCATCTGTATTTGGTATACTCATTGGTAAATTTGATTCTGTAATATCTTCTTCGAATTCCTTATGTTGTTGAATCATTTGAAGAGTGGCTACATGTGGTGGATCTGCTGTTCTTCTCTTGGGAAATAAAGGAGGCTTTGGCGGAAGTTGAGGTGGTTCTTCCGAATAACGTTCTGACCGTTCTTCTTCTTCCAATCGTAATTTTTGATTAGTTAATCGATGTGCTAATTTAATATCTTCTCCTCTTGAAGTAACTGATACCGATGGGAGACGAAACCTCTTAATTGTAGAATCTGTGTCTCGAGAAGACATTGCATTTTCAATTTTTGTAGCAAACTTAACAGCATGAATTGGAAGAGGAGGAGGAGGAGGAGGAGGATTTAGTCTCTGAAGATAGAATGGAGCTGGAAGTAAAGGTCTCCTAGTTGAAGGATATGATTGAACAGGTTGTCTTACTCTAGTAGGATAAGTTTGACCAGCTGGAATTGTTCCAATGATTTCTGATCCACGATGTCCATGAGATGTCTTAGCATTTGGACGAAATTGTGGGAGAATATTTGGTAAAGTAGAATCGGGAGAATAAGGGCGTCTTCTTATTCCTATGAGTTCTGAAGGAAGAGTAGGAGATGATGATGGTGATTTTCCACGAGATGGTAATCTTTGAGGTCTAAAATGATCAGGCCGTACTGCAAGACCTCCATAATTATAGTGATAATAAAATTGTAAAGGCAACTTTGGTTGTTCAGCCGGTGGAGTCAAATTCTCTGAAAGTTGTGGTAGGTATTCTTTATTTGAAATTAGAGGATCCACTCTTACAGGTTTTAATGTTGTGGAAGAAGATTTTATTTCATTAGTTTCATTTGTAACAATGATATAATCTTCGATCGATTGTTTAGATTCATCCTTAGGAAATATGATTATATGATTAACATTTTTATCATTTTTTTTATCTTCTGACTCTTCTAAAAGTACAGTATCCTTTATAAATGAATTTTGTGTTCTAGGAGGTTCTATTTCATTAGCTAGTTTTTGAATTTCGGTAGGATTAGGTTGTCTCCATTGAGCATAGGTGTAATTATTCTCCATTGCAGATAAAGGTAACCAATTATTTCTTGAAAATCTATTTGTGAATCATAATTGCTTTTATTGATGATGCATTATAGAAAGGTCGAAAAGAAGAATCTAATTTGCTGGAACTACTATAAGGATTCTCTCCAATTGCAGTACCTACGGAATAATATTCACCTTCAACATTTTGTCTGTTTCCAAGGACAAAAGATACCATATCCTGATCAGGTGGTATCAATATGTTACTAGTGCTCTCTACAAGAATTTCTCCGGTTGGTTTTTGATTAATAATTGTATTTGGATGATATCCCTGATTCACAATAATATTATCTGCAATACCATGTTTTCGATCATTTTCAAATGACATATGTTCATTATCTAAAGGCATGGATGTTACTGGGTGTAGAGAAGGAACTTGAAATGGTAATGAATTACTTTGTAAAATATTTTCTTGAGATATTGGTAATAAATGTATTGCAGAGGATGATGGAACTGATGTGTTTATTATTGTAGTCGTCACGGGAATGATTTCTGGATTTTTTTCAGTGATCGTTGTTATATTAGAACTGGATGTTGTAGTAGGCAATGTACTGGTTTTTGTAACTTCATTGGTTGTTTCTTTCATTGAAACATAATCTTTTATTTCTTCCTCTTCTTCTCCAATTTCATAATCTTCGTAATTATTGATGTATTCTTCGTGTTTTATAGGAGGTTTCGTTTGAGAATCTCGATTATGATGCATTATATTATTTGATCCTTGATGATTATTATTGTACATAGATGATTGAAGTTTCTCTATAGGAAGAATATCATCATAATCCTCTAAATAATCAATAAATCGTTTAGGAGTGGAAATTGAAGGTTTCCAAGTCGTTACAATAGGTAACTTCATAGAAGTTGAAGTAATAGATGGAGAAGTGGTTGTCGTAGTAGTAGCAGTAGTGGAGTTTGTCTTTGGCGTTGAAGTTATGGTAGCTTTAGAAGTTGTAGAAATAGTAATGGTATTAGGTATAATCGATGACGTAGGTTTAAGTGTCGTTGTTGTCATTGTTGTAGTCATCGTTGTAATCGAAGTTGCTTTAGATATATATGGTCTTTTGGTAGAATAATATACAGTTTCTCCATGATAGGGTTTATGATTATAAGTACTATAACTATTCGATCCACTCTGAACTTTTGTATTTGCATAAGAACTTGATATCAACGGATACTTGTCTTTATCATATTTACCAGAAGAATAATGTATAGGAAGATTAAGAAAATCATGAAAATTAGGTGAATAAGGATTAATTTCGTTGGGACTAACATCCTCAGTTTCTTTGTTGTTTTCCTTTTTTTTTTCATTAAATAAGAACTGTTTCCTTTTGAAAAATCTTTGATCTGTTCGTCTTCGTTCAATTCTTGATAATGATTGGTATAATTTAAAGCCTTGACAGGCTTCTCAAAATCAATCTTACCGGTGATAGGATCCTTTTCGAGTGAGAATGGCTTGCCACCATTGAAGGCGAAAGGATATGGCACGTGATAACGCGGCATTTCTTCATCGTCTGACGTCGAAAGAGCAACGGTGCTCTCTTCTATATTAAGATCTAGGTCAAGATCATCCAGCTGTGCCGTCCTTGCCAAATTTGGAGAAGATTCAGTTTTTTCTAGCAAAGACTTTGGTGGATTGTTATCCATATGACCGCCCATTAAATATTCGGGCAATACACCACTTATACAAGTCAGTATGACCATTAGTCTCCATGGATTAAATTGCATTGTTTTTGACAGATCTGAAAACAAATTTCATATTGTGTAATAAAATAAAAAATTTTAATTATCTCTAATATAAAAATATGTAATTTAAAAATTGATTTATAAAAAATTTTATATATTAATCATAATTATAATTATTATTGATAAAAATATTATTATACATATTATACATATTATACAGGAAAATTTAAATGTTGAATTTCATTTTAATAATTAAATTTGAATGTTGAATTTCATTTTAATAATTAAATTTGAATATTGAATTTTTCTATGATTTTATTTTTTTATTATATGTTTAAAAATGTATTCAGTTTTTTTTGCATATATTTATAAAACTTGAAATTATTCAAAATGTTTGTTCATCAATTGTCAAAGCATTGAATAAAGTATAAAAGTATTTTATTCCTTATTTTATATTTAATATAATTTAATATGATTGAGAGATATGGTTTGTTATATTGATTTATCGCATCATATCTTCATCGAGATTACTATAAATGCTTCAGCAAATTTGCATGACATTCTTTATAATAAGAACAACGCGAACAAATAAAAAATAACTAATTAACTGTTCACTTATATAAATAAACATGTAATAAAATAATAATCTTTAATTTAAAAATATTTTCTTTTCTTATTTATAAAATATCATTTAATTTATGTAAATCATTAATAATGTGAAAAACAATATATTATGATTATAATAATCACATAATAATTATAATAATTATAATAGTCATGATTTAAAAATAAAAATAAGAATATATTTTAAATTTTTAATAATAATGAATTCTCTGATCATTAAAGAATTTTCAATATTATATTATCAATATTAAACATAATAATAAAGAAAGACAGAATATTTCATTTTTCATCAAGCAGAATCACGTTTCAACATATAACGGGTTTTCCCATCCTCTCTCTCTTTTCTTCTATTTCATATTCTTCTTGTGGCATTCCAGTAGTTTTATCGAGATTGTGCTACAATTTCGGTCTTTATACGATTGGTATTTGGCAATAGAATTGTGTTACTCGCACTTTCGAACGAGCTTCCGTTGTCATAGACAAATTATTGTCTCAAGGAAATTCCCTAAAGCAATTGAAAACGCTTTCGGATGTACATGATGATTAAATAATGATTAAATGTTTTATGCATATATAATATACTATTAATAATATATATAATAATATATTATAAATATTATAGGATATTTCTTATATAGAATATAAATATTTCTGTTCAAATTCCTATTAAATTTCAACAGTTTTGTGTTCTACAAATAAAAATAAAATATTACAAATAAAAATAACATAAATGCTTTATTAAAAAATTATAATAAAAATTATAATAAAAAATTATAATAAAAATTATATAAATTCTATAAATATCTATATTTCCATTTCGAAAAGTTACTTATTTTTATATTTGATATCGATAAATTATATTTATTGTAAATTCCAATTCGATGTAGTTTTGTTTAATTTCTAACTACAATACAATTTTTATTTTTGTTAATTATTTTAATTAATTTGTATCGTATATATGTATTTATATATTATAAATATTCTTATTTAAAATTATATTTTTAAAATATAAATCTAAAATTGTAAAATTTAAAAAGCCGAAAAAATCAATTTCAATCAATTTATTATTTAATATCATTTAATAATATTCATTAAGCAGAGAAAAAGTTTCATAACTTTTTAATAAAGTATAGTTTTATAAACTTATTGTTATTTATTTTTACGGTAAAAATTTTTACCTGATATAATTTGAATGAAAAAATTTAAAACATTCTGCATATATGTATATATATATATATATATATATATATATA